CGGGGTAGCCGACGGATCCCCCATGGGCATCCCTTGTTGTCTCTCTTGGAACCAATGGAAGACCAGCCTAAGTCCTTCGATAGTAGCTACTTTGCCCTTGGCCAATATCTTTTTCTGGAATTTAATTAAGAGATTCTTCGCCTTTTCTGGGCTTAATGATGCTTGCCTTTTTGTCCTCTGCCATTCGGCCCTGATCTCCGTCTCCAATAGATTGTAGAGTGTTGCCTTGTCTTCTACTCTGGCCATTGGTATCTTCCCAATCACCTGTTGGCATCTCCGTTTCCAGATAGTCCATAATGTGTACTGCCTTAGTAACCGGAAGATGTATTTCTGGCTGGACTGCCACCCCTTGGGTACTTCACTTCCTATCAGTGTCGATCTCCTGTGTTGTGGGAAGGGGGCCACTGTAATACGCGTCCACAGTGTTCGAACGATTGTCCAGCGGTATTCTGCTTCAGGGCATTGCAGTAGGCAGTGCGCCAGGGTTTCGGGTACTCCTCCCATGCACTGAGAGCATGCCTGTTCTGCTACGTCTCTGTGGTGCCTGCTTCACTTATCATACAGCCAGGCATTGACTGGGAGTGCCACATGGAAAATGAGCCACTGCATGCTCCTAACCTTTCTCGACCTGATGCTCTGGAAGCTCGGCCAGGGTAATTGCTTGACCTGTATTTCGACCCTCTTCTCCCATCTTATCGACAGAGGGCGGTCCAACTGAATTGAACGCTTCCTGAGACGGTACCCCAACTTGGTAGTGTAATGTAATATGTTAATTCTCCTGGCAACTCGTAACGTGCCCCCCTTGATGTTCCAAGCCCACTCTGCTGAATGAATTTCTAGGTTCTGAATGTTGGTTGTCGGGGCGAAGATTGAGTCACTATAACCCTGACCTTCGTCAAACTATCTTGCTTGATGGTGATCGGAGTACATGACTCCTTCTCCAGTTGACTAACTATGGCATCAGGAGCTGAGATTGCGTACATGTCGGGGCATCCTCCCATTGTTTGGTTGGTCCTACAAGTTGTCCTATACGAAAGGCTTCCGCTGGCTCATCACTAAAACTCCAGGTTGCCCAGTCTCTCCTTCTCCATTGGTAAGAACCTCTCAACATCTGCGTCCACTCGTCCGGAATGGAAATAAGTATGTCATTAAGGTTTTCAAACAGTTTGTGGCTTCCTTTCATTTCCTCCCTCAGTTCTCTGCCTATTTTCCATCTGCGGTTGTCCTCCGACCAGAGGTGCTTTACTTGCCAGACGCCATGTTCAAGCCAGGTTCCCCACTTGGCATCCCTCGTTGTTAGTGTTTTGGGCCTTCCTTGAAAGTCTTTCAACCATGGATTGCAGAATAAGGGTTGTCTGAGCACCTCCTCCTTCGTAGTCGGTTGTCTTACTCTTGCTGGGAAGATCTCCCCCCATATCTTGAGGTTTTGGGCCCAGTATGAACTCCTGCTTGGATCCGCTTCTCCCCCCTCAGCCCGTGCTCCTCCTTTCTTGGCCCAACTTTTGCAGAATAGCCAGAAGGTACCCTCCATATTAGGTGGGGTTTTGTATTTGGCCATCTTACAGATATGTTCTAGTACCAAAGGGACCCATTGGAGTTGAGGATGAGTTAACAGCTTGATGACCCATTTAGTTTGGAGTGCTTTCAGTTGCTGTCCAGGATCCAGGATGCCCAGTCCTCCCTGGTCCTTGGATTGAATTCCCTACCTCCATGCTACCTTGGATATAAAGTTGGGCTTAGTGGGGTTCGCTGTCCACAAGTAAGTTGTTGCCGCCCTCCTGAGCTTCTTGAGTGACTGCGTTGGAGGTGTCCATATTGATCCCACGTACCATAGCATCGAGAAGATAGAGGCGTTCAATATAAGTGCTTGGCCAAACAAGGAAGTGTAGATCTTCGACCAGGCTGAAAGCTTGGTTAACATTTTCGTCATCTGCTCCGATGCCATCGAGTGATGTGGGCCTGTATCTGCTAGTCTGATCCCTAAGTGTAGAACTCCCCCATAGTTTTGTGGTTGAGTCTGTACTTCTTGACCGTCGTAGGAACGCCACCAGCCCATCGTTTTTGGCCAGTTAATTTTCATCTCAGACGCCAGCTGGAAAGCCGCCATTGGTCTTATGAGGGCTTCAAATGACGAGTTTGTGGCCCTGATCAAGACGGTCAGATCATCCGCAAAGAGTAGTGTTGTAGGCAGGTGGGTGATGCGACCCTGTTGGTCTGGCTCAGTGATGAGGCGGTCTATCGAGGGATCCTTTCTGAGAAACGAGGCGATTGCCTCCATGATGAAATGAAAAATGGGAGCTGCCAGCAGGTCTCCCTGTTTGACCGACCTAATCATCTTGTATCTTCTTGGAAGATGACCATTAACTCGGACCTGAGCGTGTGCGTCGTTGTACAATACCCGAATCCATTTGCGAAAGTTCGGGCCCACCCCCATCTTCTCCATGCATTGCTGCAGGAAGTTCTAGTTCACTTGATCGTATGCCTTCTCGAAGTCGAACAAGAGAATTGTTGTATTGTCAGTGATGTATCTGACCGATTCCGATAGTGTCATGACGTTGTTTAGGATGAATCTCCCTGGAATGAATCCCTTCTGATCCAGGTGGAAGCATCTGTTGGTAACTTTTCTCAGACGATTAGCAAGTGTTTTAGCCACTATCTTGTGGGTGAGTGTCAGAAGAGTAATCGGTCTATAATACCTGATATCCTTGGGGTCGCCCTTCTTGTATAGAAGAGTCACAATTCCTGTCGCCGAATCTGGCCCCAGACCTTCCTCCTGCCATGCCCAATTGAAAAAGTTTCCGTACTCACCACCCAGAATAGACCAGTATTCTAACCAGAATTCCTTTGTGCGTCGATCTCTACCGGTTGTTGGGAGGCATGGACTGGAGGGATTCCCTCAGTTCCTCTTGAGAAAGAGGGGCGTCCAACATTTTCGCCTGCTCCCCCTTCACCGTGCAATCCAAGTATGACAGAAACTTCATTCTGACTTCCTTTACTTGGTGTGGTGGATGTTCACCTTTCATCGAAGTGTATAATGTGTTGTAGAAGTTATAGGCCATTGACGGCATCCCCTCCGGGTCCGAAACCAATCCTTGTGGACCCTCCAATTGTTCTATTACCGTGTTTCTTCCTCTTGTTTTAATATTTTGAAAGAAGTATTTTGTCATTCTTTCCCCCTCCTCCCATTCCTTCGCACGCGCTCTCATCTGCAGTCCCTGTGTCTTCCATCTCGCCCAATCTCCCAACTCCAGCCTGTTTGCTTCCATTACCCTCTCATACATCTCCACTCCGTGGTTGCTGATTAGGTTTCTTTCTGCTATGCGTAACGCTCTTTGTAGTTCCACTTCCCTTGCTGCTCGTTTGGCTGCTAATTGTCTAGCCAGTGTTGTTGTCACTTCTGACAGAGCGTCAATTAAGTTTGTGAACGCTTGTGTTTCTCGATTGTGTGCTAGACACACTTGTAGCAAAGCCTGCCTCAGTTCCTCAGTTTTAAGTAGCGAGTTGTTCACCTTATAAAAACTTCTGCCCCTCTGGATCTGTTTATCCATGGTGAGGTTGAGAAAAATAGGTTTGTGATCTAGACAAGTGCAATACGGCAGATCTCCTATCGCGTCCGAGTGCAGTGTTCCTATCATCTCTTGTGATATGAGGAGATAATCTAATCCTGGATGCTGAGATGTGTTGACTATGATTCCTTTTGTAGAAGGTGAATTGCTTCTCGTCTGGCCGCTGTAATCTGTATGGATCGATGAGGTCCCAGACTGTCATGAGATTATGGATGGGGAGGGCATCGTCCCACATCATCCCTTCCCCTGACCGCCCACCTACCATTCTATCCTTACTCGCCTCTAAGGTGGCATTCCAATCCCCGGCTAGTATGAGGTGTCTCAATGATTCTATATGAGTATGTATCGTGTCTATCATAATGGACCGGGAGTGAGAACTGTTCTTCTTGGTACATAAAGTTAAGCTTCACCCAACGTCCCTCACCCTCATCTGTCATTACCTCCTGAATTGTTATTCTGTTTGCCGCCAGCGACCGTTTATTCTGCAAATTTACTACTCCAGCTGAATGGGAGTGTCCCGCTGTTGCCCAAAAGCTTGCCTTGACCCACCTCAGTTGCTTGAGGATGCAGTGTTGAATGCGTTGATGTTCCAGTGAATCTGTCAGATGGGTTTCTTGTAAGCATACAAAATCAGGGGGATTCTTACCATACCAGTTAGAGTATTTCATGACAGTATTCTATTTGTCCTTGTTTTCCAGGATCTGCACCATCCCGTTGATTTTCCAAGATATCACTCTCAGATCCGGATCCCGTCCTCTTAATGCGACCGTTGTCCTTCTGCACTTGTCCAACCCTTCTCTTAGTGCATCCTCCATGAGGTTATACTAGCTCTCACTGATTCCTTACAGATGACGTATTCAGGATCCTGTCTGGGCCCACTCTATTCTCGTGGTCATCGATGCAATCTTGCTGTCAATGTAGTCCGGCTGCTACGAGAATACATCACATTTGGTGACTATGGATGCTCCCCTTGCCACCCATTTTGCCGCCTCTGATCCTCCAAGGAGACCATACGGTATAGTCTCCACCACTTGCCAAGGCATCCAGATCAGACCATCGGTAAGTGTTGCCTTCTCCTGCAACTTAATCATGATAGGCCTATAGTCCACCATTTGCAGACTGCCTGCCGTATCCTCCCATTCCTCCCTATCACGCTTGAGGTCACCGATGGCATGTGCATGAGTGGGCAGGTCTTCTGCAATCAGCTCCTTGAGAATATCCTCTGAGCAGTTGCTATCCTTCACCGTAACTAGTGCCAGGGACCGGTGGATGGCCACTTCCCAGTCGGAGTTGCCACTGTTCCATTGGTACGGAGGATTATTCTCTTGCCTTGATTATGTCTCGCATAGAGTTTGGCTGCTGCGTTGATATCAGTATGCTGTGCGTAGGAAATTTTCTGCAGATTAATGGTGTCCTCCTCCGGTTCCCTATTCTGATCCTTGAGAACATTGATTTGGGCTTCCAGAATCGCTGCTTGTCGCTTCTCCTCCTCCACCTGCTCTTCTTCACCTCCTGCTTGTGGGGAATCCACTGATTCATGAGCACTACTGTTCGCTCGCTCCGTTGCTTCTTGCTGCGATTTGCGCATCTGATCTGATCTCTTTAATCCCTGTGGCTGGTAAGTCTTTGGCCATATAAACTGTTTGGCATAGTCCCAGTTGTGTACTGTGATGTCATTATTCTCTGGTCAGGCCTTCCATCCATACTGAGTTGCGTAGAACTCATTGACTTCCTGCTCTTTCTTCAGTCTTTCGAAGCGATGCGATGTTGTGCTCCCCTGCGGTTGTGGCTTGTTTTAGGTTGCGCAGGTGTTTGTGATGGGCCAAACGGATCTCACATTCGATATGCCGTTCCCATTGGAGTTTGTGGACTACCCTGATCCACTGCACTAAGGTCTTCGGTTCTTCTTCCTCCTCCTCGTCTTCCCCGTCTTCATCCCCTCTGTCCCCATCGCTATCGGAATCTGCGCCCGAGTCCTCTACTATCCCCTCTGCCCCTTCTACTGCCTCTCCTACAATCTTCGTTGTTCTCCTTCGGGTGGATTGGCTGGATTGGCTCGACATGGAGTTGCTTCGTCCTGTGGTGTCGCTGTGTCCTTGCTGCTGGGCTGTAGAGGGCGAGGTTGGCGTGTCTGCTGGTGGATCTGAGATGTCCATTTCCTCCCCAGAGGGTCTGTGATCTCCCTGTCCTTCTTCTTCCGTTTCCATTTTTTTATCTTGTTCGGCCTGTGAAGGAGCTTCTCCTGATCCCGTCCCGGATTGTGTGCGCTTGGTCCCTTGACTTAGACTGTCTCCTTGCCCTGACTCCCTATCGCTGACTTTTCGCTTAAGGGAGGTCGTTGAATCACCCCCTTTCACTTCCTCCCGAGTGGACTTGTCACTAGCGTCTACCTCCGTGTTTTCCCCCTTCGTATCCTTGTTATGAGTACTGATCTTGCTTTCCAACCCTTCGCAGTCCATCTTGTCATCCGATCTGCCCGCGACTGTAGACTTTTGAGCCTCCTCTCGCTCTCTTCTGTTTTCCAGGAAGGCCAGTTCCGCTGTCTGTCCCAGCTTGTGCAACTCCGACATGGTTTGAAGGTGCTGCTTGTCGTCCAGCAAGATGGAATCATCTATCATGGGCTTGGTTAGGTAGCCCACGTCCTTCTCCTCCATCTGTTTGGATCCCATTTGTCTCCATCGGCTGTCGTAAGGGGGATAGATTTCCGGCTTCACTGTCGGAGTGCTGCGCAGCACCCACACCCACCGTGGAAAATCCAAGTTATCGTCAAAGATCCAACGGTTACCCGATAGTGCGACGAGTTGATGAACCAAGCCCCTGGTTTGTTGTCCGATTCGACCAACATTGATTGTCGCAGCTGAGGTTGTCTACCGCCTGTCCCTGCCCCTGTCTGTGGGCAGTGCATTCCAAGATGACCTCTACCCCTGCACTTGAAACAGAAGGGGTTGGTTTTCTTTGAGCCCCTCTTTCCCAAAATGTCTCCATGGCCACTCAGAACTCAGTTTCCAAATCCATTTTCCTGTTTTTTTTTTTCTTCCCTTTTCTTCTTCCCCTGTTTTTGTAAAGGACGATGATGGCCTGGAGATATCATCATTGAGCTGACCACCGTGACCGGCCCCAGGTTATTTTAGAACTATGTTATTTTGGTCATCTTATTGCATCTGGATTCAAACTTTGGGTCTCCCAAAAAAAAAAAAAAAAAAAAAAAAAAAAAACTTTGGGTCTGTATTTCAACAGTTCATGGGTGTATGCAGCTGAGCTAGGCCCGTCGGTACTTTTCCTGTTGTCGTTTTCAAATTTTTGGATCCATACTCAGTTTTTTTGACATCATTTTTTCTTTGTCCTTCAATTGATCTCCTTGTGTGTTTATTTTTGCCCTTGTGTATCTGGTGGAAAGACGGACACCTTCCAAAAGTTGTAGGTCCGTCCTTCGGGCCCCAGAGAGAAGATTATCATGTCCCCTGCACAAGGATGACATGCATGAATACTATTAAATAGAGAAAAGAAAAGAAAAGAAGAAAAAAGTTGTAGGTCCCAATCCGTGTTTTTGTAAGGCCTAGAAAGTTGCTATTCACAAGTCCGAAAAGGAGGAGCTGAACTGGAATGTTAGTCCAAAGGAGGTTTGGGATGATCCGAAAAGTAACACTCTGGTCTATATGGAAGGAAAGGTGCAGCAGGCACATCAAAGGGATATCAAGACCAAGGGAGAAAGTTTGGGCGGAGACAAGGACACTAATTCAGGGCATAAAATAAATAAATAAATAAACAAATAATTAAAAAAAATAAAAAAATAAAAATAAAAATAAAAATAAAAAAATTCAGGGCAGAGATTTTGTGCAAGTGGCAGAAGACAAGACAATCCATGATGGATGATGTGGATCAGCAGAAGAGAACAGTGAAGAAATTTACAAAGATATGGCTGGCAGGCGGCAAGGTAGCAGAAATAAAGGACTTCGGCATATGTTGGAGGGACTGGCACAATGCAGAAGTGGGCCGGAGAAGACAGAGAATCCAGCAAGCTCCATCACAGGCCAGGCAAGTACCATAGCATATGGCTGTGAAATTACGAGTGCGGAAATATGTGAAGACTCTGTCCCTTTGCTTGTCCCTTTCTTGTGCTTCGAGATATTTATGACAGGTCCTAGGTAGATAGACGTGAGAGGAAAGGTGGAAGCAAGGCAAGCTGACAGTCAATCCTCCATACTACTGGAGCAATCAATGCTGATCAGAGATCCTTCGGCCAGACGGAAGGAAGCGTGAGTCTGTTGATACTGTTAATTGTTTTTTGACTTGCCGGTGGAATAGGAACCGGACTGACGCTCCCCAGACTCGGCCTTTTGGCTAAGATCAAGTGTAGTATTTGTTCTGATCACTCCCCAGAATGGATATGGAGCCAGGGCCATAAGGACCTGCTTTATTCAAAAAAAAAAAAAAAAAAAAAAGAGTTGCTATTCAGGTTCTCAGCCTGGGAAGTCCCAGGCCCCAGCGCCGAGGATGTCCCAAGTCCCAATTTTGTGGAAAGTTCCAGATCGTTGTCTCGGTGTCGACCGGTAGAAGTGATCTGCCGGCACTTCGGCAGAACTCTCAACGTCTGTCTGTCACCCGCGGGAGAGTTGTTCCGCGGCTCCTGCAATCTGCAACACAACAAGGTCAGTACTAATTAGTAATAACCAAGAAGCAAAAAAAAAAAAAAAAAAAAAAA